AGTAGGTATTGTCCAGAGTGCTGCATTCATATCATCTAGTAGATCTTCCTAGGATATATTGTCTTGGTACCCAGCTACAGAGGATCCAGGTTTCAAATGGGCATTGGAAATAACACCAAATGACCAAAAAACTAGTTTGGTTGATGAAGCAGTATACAGGCCAGCCAACCAGATATTGTGGTGGTTAAAAAGGAACACAAGACTGTAGTTTTGGTTTTAGCAACAGCAGGAAGAAAGAGCATGAGAAAACAGAGAAGTACCAGGGGCTGAATGAACAATTGGTGCAATTGTGGAACATAAAATCCAGAATGGTCCAAGTGGTAGTAGGAGTAGTAGGAGCTGTAACCCCAGAACTGGAAGAGGGCTCCAGCACTTTCAGCCCACAACATCAGTGGTCTGCGTCAGTAGTAGGAACAGCTGAGGTACTCCATAGAACCTTTGACCTCAGGAGGACCCAAGCTTGAGGATCATACACTCATACCTCTCTCCTCCCCACAACCCCACCCCATTTGAGGGGATGAAAAATAGTGAAAACTTTCAGCTTTAATTTTAATTAAGGGCTTTGACAATTGTCATTTGGAAAAATTCACAATAAAATTGATAAATGGGTTAAACTAAATCTGAAGCTGAATTGTCCTCCTATTAATGGACACCATGCATTAACACTGAGGTGAAATAAAGTACACTTTTTTGTATTGCAGGTCAATACACAATATGCAGTAAAGCAAACTGTAATAAAATAATTCAACTTTGTTGTTAAAATAGGTCAATGGCATTGACCTACAAGGAGCCACACATGAACAAGCAGCTGCAGCCCTAAAAGGAGCAGGACAAGTGGTCACCATCATTGCTCAGTACAGACCTGAAGGTAAGTCAGCTGAAAAAGGTTAATGCACTTTACAAGCACACCAATTATGTGGTGTAAATGCCTTATTAATCACAAACCTACACAGGACAATGCTTAAATAGATCTTTGCGGGCCTCTAAGTAAATTGGCTATAATTGGGCCAAGTGATGACCTCCTTATGTACAGTTGTGCTCCTAAGTTCACATGCCCTGGCAGAATTTATGATTTCCTAACCATTTTTCAGACCATATGAATGATAACACAAAAACTTTTCTTTTCATTCATGGTTGGTGTTTGGTTGTTATACTCAAGGTTTCATTGAGGTGTCTACAAGATATCATGAGGTACAAGCCGGAGGTCGTCTATGTCCCTGGCAAAACGTTTGTCATTCAAGATTCAAAGTGTTTATTGTCATGTGTACAGAAGAAATCGCATTTCAATAAACACTTTGAATCTTGAGTCTCGAATGACATTGCCAATACGTTGTCGCGTAGCCCACAGGCTCGGGCAGATTGCTACATAGCCACTGTGATACAGGGCATTCCAGCATCTCCAAGCTGAATGCAGAGCATTAAAGAGACACTGCAACTGAAGGCGACTTACAGACCGCCATCACCTACATACGCAGGGGATAAGAAGTAGTGTGCCACCGAACATCAAAGTGTACATGAAGGTGAAGAATGAGCTGTCAGAGGCCAAAGGCCTGGTTATACGAGGCTGCCGAACTTCGAGGTGGATGACGCTGTCACCTACCTGCTGCATCGGGTCTTCTGTCATCTGGAGAGAACCAGTTGCATTGTGAGAGTCATGTTTTTTTATTTCTCCAGTGCCTTCAACACAATCCAGACCTCAGTGCTAAGTGGGAAGCTGCAGGGAAAGGGAGTGGACCATCATTGTCCTCGTGGATTGTTGACTACCTCACCATTAGATCCCAGTATG